TACAAATATTCATTGCTGTTACTTTGCCTCATCTTAAAGGGATAGTTCACTCAAAATGAGAATTGTGGTCGTTTATTTGCCTGAACTATTTTAAATGTGATCTGAAGTATACTAAACACAAGCTGTTATAACAGTGTGGTTGATTAGAAATGTACATGGGCCCTGTTCTCACTGAACTCTTGGGAGTTGATAGCCCCCACTGGCTGATTAAGTTACATGCAACTTTTGGTACACTGTGAATACACAAACTTCCATCAGTTCTCAGTTTTCTTGAAAGTGATCACACTGCAGGGCATCTTGGCTTTCAGTTCAACAATTTCCCTAAGAAACAATGAGACGATCTGCTTTTATGGTTGATTTTGCATATTTTGTGGTTTATGTGCTTTTTCACAGGGCAGTGTGTAGGAAGCATGAACTGACACAGTATGAACTAGAGATGGCCGCCCAGGATCTGACCTCTAAGAAACAGCAGCGGGAGGAACTCGCCACAGGGGTCAGTGTCCATTTGACCACATGACACAACTCCACATCACCCCTCTTATGTCTGGAATGGGGGACTTTCCAGCAAGATTTATATAAACCAGGGTTCATGTCATATCAAAAGAATGAGGGAAAAATATAGGGAAATGATTATAAAATATATAAAGCATTTATTTTCTGTTTTTCAATGTGTTTGATCTAAAAATATAAATGTAATATAGTTGGATATAATGCAGCATTTACTTTTGTCCCACAGCCCTCAATCAAGTTTGATTTTTGGTCCTTCATAGTAAAAATTTGGGCCATCTCTGCTTTAAAACATGTTTGGGTTTGCATGTTTGTTTGTTTTTTAGAGTTTAACAGTTTTATACAGTTAAAATTGTGTTTGCATGAATAGAGCCTGTAGAGAATTACCTCATTGGCACATTTAACATGTAAACATCTGAGCAGCACAAAAAGCCAACGATATACGAAAGATATTCTGGCCTGATTGGCTGATATGAATAATTACTAGGCCCACTTGGCCAAAAAATGGGAGTAAAAATGTCCATATTTCAGCTTTCTGCAAATAAACATGGGAGGAAGAGTGTGGCTTACTCTAGCCAATGTTTTTTTGTTTTTTTTTCTGTGTAGACGATACGGACCTTCTCTCTGAAGGGAGTGACCAGTAAACTGTTTGGACAAGAGACCCCAGAGCAGAGAGAGGCCAAGCTGAAAATGCTGGAGACACAGATTGAAGAAGGAGAGGAACTGGTCAAAGAAAGGAACGCCGAATGCGAGTAAGCAGTGCTCTATTCACACACAACTAAATTAATGTACTGCTGCTGACGAAAAGCAATAAATGTTGTCAGAAAATTACTTAATTAGGTGGTTTATGAGCTGAGAAGTTTACTCAACAAAACTGCATTGCCTTCTTATTCTCTGTGGCAGTACAGAAATGATGAAATATACAGATTATGCTCCAAATACACATTCTTTGCTCATTTTGTTGCATCCCTGAGAAACTCACCTAATAAGGGTGAGTTGAACCCCAAAACAGGCTAATCATTCAGGGCTTTCTTAAAAATATGTAGATTTGAGGATATAACCATTCAAGTCAAGCTTCAGCCGAGTGATTATTTCATACAATCTTTGTCTGTTTTTGTAGGGAGTTTGTGAAAAGTGCATGGGTGGACATTGAGAGGTTTAAAGAGCAGAAAGACCACGATCTCAGAGAGGCTCTCATCAGCTATGCCATCATGCAGATCAGCATGTGCAAAAAAGTGAGTAGCATCAAAGCCAGCAAATTTTGTCATTACGAAACAATCAAAACACCAGTCTCTACTGATCAGACACAAGGGGGAAGTCTCATACTTGTATTAAAAAATAAGCCTGTTTTGTTTTTAGGGAATTCAAGTGTGGAATAACGCTAAAGAGTGCTTCAGTAAGATGTGAGGGTTCCAGCCACGACAACCAGAACACCAGGAGGCCTTGGAGATGTCAATCCAGAAAAGCACACACTCCTAGAGACTGACCTTGGGGACTAAAGTCTTCCTCTCAATCCTAAACATTTGTCAGCCTCTTGCACCAGATGCTCTGGTGTAAATAGGTATCAATTACAATAGTTTAGGAGTCCCAAATAATGAATGAATGGGGTGCTGTTTTATTTATTTCCATGTTCACGAGCCAGATTTTAGACCTGGTTACTTTTGTTACTGCACTAGTTTGACCTACACAAGAGTTTGTGAAGGTAACGGACAATTCTTAACACTGCAGACAGAAACAAAAGAATGACTTAATTAGTATTGATTAATCTTGAACTATGGAATCACTTGTTTATAATTTGTTAATGTCTTTTCCTTTATGCTTTTTGGTGCCAAAATGTGTTAAAATCATTCCTTTTTTTTTCTACTTTTCGTTAACTTTTTACTACTTTAGTTCACCATAAAACACAAAAGCACAGATTAAAACTGTCAAGGCAAAATAAGAGGGTGGGTTTTCTTAGTGAATCCAGCAGTTCCATTTTTATCGTACCCCACACCCCTCCTCATAATGGTGGTCTCGCACATCTGGAACGTGTCCAGTTTCTGTGGGACATGCAAAATGATCTTTATCACCTGGCGCAGAGGACACCAAAAGTCAGATTTCCTATGAAAGGAAAGTAACTTGTCTTATTCACATGCAAACTAAATTTGCCCTGATGCCCATACAGCAAACAAAGTGGCATAAATTCATCATAATATGCTGGTCTGTCACTTTTCTGCACATTTAGCCATAAAAACATAAGCTGTTTATGACCACTGATCCCCTCCCTTTATATGGTTCAGTTCATCTGAAAAAATATTAATATGCTGTTTATGCCTTAACTCTGCATATTTTCTTTGTTGCCGCAGCTTCCACTATGAATGCCATATTTGTCATCTGTTATGATGAGTGGGTGGGTCAGTGTTTTGATATAAATCTGGCTGAAGGAATACGAAGGTCACAGGAAAGTCAGGATATAATAATTTCCTCATTTTAGAGCTGCATGTGTAACTCAGCCTGACCCCTGGTCATTCGGTTCATTTTTTTTTTTTGGTTTAGAGTGGGGCAGAGATAACCCTTTTGTATATATACTGTTAAAATCGTTGTGTAACACTAATGGCAATGATAATAAAAAAATACCATTATCATTTGGCTTATGGTTTCATATGTTGTGAGGGTCTGTTGTGTTCATCGTTTTGATAGTCTAAGAACTCATTAGAGATAATTTGGATTATTTACAGAGTTCGTTTGGATTATATGAAATTGCTGAGTTTGAGGCGTAATGAAAATACACTGTATGAGAATGCTCATGTATATTAGGGAAATAACCAAATATATTTAAAAGTTTAAAGTTTAAATCTGTCAAGTATTTTAACGCTAAATAGAATACATCCTGTAACATGAGCTGTGTACTGGTAAAAAGAGTGCATTTCTTTAAACTGATAAATTGTCATCTCTACAGCCTCTCAGCCATTTTCTCAGGAAGAATCTCCATTTGTTTCTAGGTTGTAATGCTTCCCTCTAGTGGTGTGTTATACTTATGAACCAATTTTATAACCAAAGCCTTTGATATAACAGACTTTACTGTGGTCAGATGTTTAGTTTGAATTTGTTTGAAGGTCTACAACAGGTTTCAACAAAGTAAATGAGTGAACACCTTTTTTTCCAGTTCCTATTTTTTAAATTCTGTTAAATATCTTATCAAATTGAGCCAAAATCAGAAATGAATTTTTTTATATTTAAGTGCCACTATTTGAGCTGTTTTAGGGCAGTAGTTCGCAACTTTTTTGACTTAAAGGCCCCTCATTATTCAAAGACTATATTCGATAGTCCTTCATATTGTATATATTTTCTGTGGCATTTTTCTTGTAATTATGCCGCTGGTTTCATTAACGCTGGTTGTTTTTCAACCTTTTTATTAACAGGAACTGGGAGTGTATATATATATTAAATTAATTAAACGTTTTTTCAACAATAAAAAAAAAAAGTTATGGAGGAATAGAGGAATTGTTTTGTTTTTGTGTATTTAGCATTTAATTAATTTTATTTTATTTATTATTATTACATAACTCATTTTAGGTTATCCCCTTGGAAGTTTATTTTAGGGGCTTTTTAATCTTTGAGAGTCTGTTTCTATTTCTGTTTTCACATACAATACAGTGCATCATTAAAAATATTAAAATATATCTTAAAATGACGTGTCAAGTCATTAAAATAAATGTACAATCTGAACAGAGATAATCGGAATATAAAATGTGATCTGCGTATCTAGATAGACCTTAAATAAAATATAATTAAAATATAACGTTACAAATGTATTTATATAAAAATACTTATTTATATAAACAAATTATATATATATAT